AGCTCCTCATGTTGTGACCCAACCGTAAAATTATTTTCGTTGCTACTTCATAACCGTAATGTTGCTACTGTTATGAATCGTCATGTAAATATCTGATATGCAGGATGGTCTTAGGGGATCCCTGTGAAAGGGTCGTTTGACCGCCAAAGGGGTCGCGACCCACAGGTTGAGAACCGCTGTCCTAGAGGATAAACAGGGTCTCTCTCCAGCTCCAAGCTGGGCAGACTCTTTGGGAGGAATTGGTGCACTGACCCTGAGGTTGAGAGCTCAGGCTCAGGGACCTCCTGTGCCCAAGCCCCTAATGTAGGTGTGGTTTGATAGTTGATATTTTTGTTAAGAGGCCCCCCCCCCTCCCCACAATTGTATAAGCCTCAGCCCCGGTGAAATCCGGACCCACCCTAGCGCAGACACTGCTAGGTGGCGGCCAGCGACCTAAGGGGGCAGAGATGTCAGCCTTCCCTAACTGAACCCCGGGAGGGGCTCCCCATGGCAGGTGTGGTCAGGGCCTAGAGGCCCCCGGCTGGGTCCAGGGCGGTAGGGCCTCTAAGCCTTGGTTTGTTTTTTTCAGTGGGTTTTCTTAGGGCCCTCCAGCTGGCCTGCTGGTTTTGATGTGGAAGGGGAGGTGGTTCAGGAAGGAGGAGCCTGTGCTCTGTGTGTGTGTGTGTGTGTGTGTGTGTGTGTGTGTGATGGGGCAGGGGGAGGGGTGTGAGAGTGGTGGCCTGGGAGGGAGAGGTGAACCCCTGGACGAGGGGCAGGTCTGGGAAAGACTGCCTGCTGCTGCTCAGACTCCATGGAAACTGGGACTCTAGGCTCCGCTGGGTGGAAAATAGCAACAAAACGGCCTTTCCTTTGGAGGTGGGAAGTCAGAGCCCCCAGTCCTGGTGCGGAGACGGGCAGCTTTCAGACGGACCACGAAGGCAGGGAGAACTGCCCAGCCCGGGACAGCGATGCTTGCTCAGGGCCCTTGAGCGCCTGGGCCGAGTCCCGGCAGCTTGCGGAGCCTGCTGGTTGTAGGTGTGGACACAGCCTTAGGCAGATGAATAGAGATTCAAAGGCACAAACTCACAATGCAGAGTCCTGGGCCTGGCGTCCCTAGAGCCTGGTCTGGTGGGGCTCGAGCGAGGATACCTGTCCACCCTGCAGAGTCCAGAGAACACCATTTCCTGACTTCAGGAAAGGGACTTTTTTTTTTTTTTTTTTTTTTAAAGAAACCAACGTATTTTTTATTGATTTCAGAGAGGAAGGGAGAGGGAGAGAAAGATAGAAACATCCATGATGAGAGAGAATCATTGATCGGCTGCCTCCTGCACGCCCCCTACTGGGGATTGAGCTGGCAACCCGGGCACATGCCCTTGACTGGAATCGAACCCGGGACCCTTCAGTCTGTAGGCCAACGCTCTATCCACTGAGCCAAACCAGCTAGGGCAGGAAAGGGATCCTTGAAGGCAGTGGAGAAAACACTGGCTTTGTTTCCACAGCTTTTTGGGGCAGAGTATGGCATCTGGAGAGTGTACCCTCAATGGGATTCTAGGGGTCCCCCCTCCCTTGGGACTGGGGTCGGGGGACTGCCTGCCCTGGGCTCAGTGTGATGGCTGGGTCTTCCTCTCCCTTAAGGAGAAACAGGGCAGACCTTTGATGACCCCTTCCCACCCCAGCCACCGGCTAAGTGGGCTGAGGTTGGTAGACCCCACAAAACTAAGCTCTCCAGGGCCGCCAGAGCGGATTCTTTTCCCTCTCCCACCAGGAGTTCAAAGCCCGCCAATTAAGCAGCCTAAACAGTGTGGTCTTCGCCCTGCATCACTGACATCATGGGCTTGTAAAACTTTCCCTGCGAAGCAGGCCACTTCATTCGCCGGGAAAAAGAAGTCTGTAATTTTCCTGACCTGGCCTTTGCTTTGGAGAGAATAGGAAAGGGAGAGAGAACTCATTTCCAGAAACAATCGCCCCGAGTGAGCAAACAAGGTCCATCCCGTGTGGGGCCCCGCGGTAGGGAGGGTAGGGAGCGCTGAGGTCCAGGACTCCCCAAACCACGTGCTGTGCAGACGAGGAGGCTGCCAAGGGCTTTGGGGCCTGGGCTGGCACGTTCCAAAACTAGGAGGGGGGAGGTTGGGGAGATGGACATCAAAATCCTTCCGACTTCGAGTCGGAATCCCTCCTCCCGCTGGCATGAAACCACCTGCCTCCCGACTAATGCAGTTTCCCCCCCTGCTCCGCCGGTTGCAACTTGCAAGACTCGTTCTGCCCGGGTCTGAATCTCCAGCGACCCCTCCCCCCTGCCCCCTGGACCTTGCCCACCTCCTGCAAACCATCCCTTCCCCCGCGGGCGGGAGGGGGCAGGGACAGCTCCTCCTGCCCCGCCTGCTTGCTGGGGACTTCAGCCCTGCCCACTAGGGGCTCGGAGCTTGGGGCCCATTAGTCTCCCTTCACTGCCAAGTCCAGGCACCACACAACGGCCTTTTCCTTCCCGAGGCGGGTGGAAGAGCTCAGGCGGGGGCGTGGGGGCGTGGGGGCGTGGGGCGGCCCGCACCTCCCCGATCCCGATCCCGATCCCGCACGGGAACCAGCAGACACTCTGGAAACTTTGTGATTGTGCCGGGGGGACTTCCCTGCTGTCCGTGCCCTGCCCCTGCCCACTGGGTACCACCCCGCCTTCGGGGGGCGCGCCTGTGGCCTGTCCAGTGGCCCCGCGGGTGCGCGGCTCTGCGACCATCAGCCACCTCCTTCCTGCTCTCCAGGCCGACCCCCAAGCACGTTGATTGTGTCTTTCTGGGGCGGGAGGGCCGAGGGGGCTCCAGGCACATGCATAATTCGGGGGCTTAATGGGCCAGCTGCCGGAGGGGGGTGGCGAGGGGCGGGCGGAGGCGCAGCTGACCTGCCCTCGTCTGGCCTCGCGGGGACGGCGCGCTCCTTTCTTCCTCCCGTGACAGCTCCCCTCCCCCTCTGGGCCCGGGTCGGGGAAGAAGGGGGGCTGGCGAGACGTCGGGTTAGCCAAGGGGTGGGGGCTTCCTCCCTGCACCCGTGCAACTTTTGCTTTGGGGGGCGGGAGGCGTGCAGTGAATCGGATCCGCCCCAGGACCCAGGTCCTGCAGGAGCCGGGGACTCTGAATGCCCGTTTCCTGGGAGCAGCCCCCGAGGTTTTTTCCGAGCCCCGCCCCCCGGCGGCCCCCTGTAGGCCCCCAGCCCTGCTGCGCCCCGCCGAGCTCGCCCCTGGCCCCGAGCCAGCCCCTTTCCCGGGCTGGGCTGGCTGCCGCTGGAGATGGATGGAGGCGGAGACCCAAGGTCAAGGGCGGGGAGCCCGCCATCCTGGGGCCCCTTTGTGCGCATGGGGCCGCCCCTCCTCCATCCGCCTCCCCCTCCCCCGCTCAGGGGCCGCGTGCGCGGGCCCTGGCTAGTGACCGTCCCAGACCTGAGAAATGGCATTTCAGGACCCTGAACACTCCTGCCAGTAGCCCCTCCCCAAAACCGTGGCGCGCAAGGGCCTGGGGTCCTTGCTGGGGCGGCTTTCCTGGGGCCGGGGTGGGGTGGGGGTGCCCCAGAATCCCCTCTTCTCCCCCCTCTCCTCCCGCCTCCAAACGCTGAAGGGTCGTGCCTCCCTCCCCAGCTCGCGTTGGCCCAGAGCTGGGCAGGTCCCTGGACCCAGGTGAGGCGGGGATGGAAGGTGCCTCGGGCCTGTGTGCATTTTATGTCCTACAGTCCCCGTCCAGAGGCGGTTTTCTTGGGAATCCCCCCTCCCCTCCCCGCCTTCCTCCTGCAGGAGGGGGAGCCTGCTTTTCTAGAGGGAATTCCTGGGGCTGGGATTTTAAAACACTCGACACAAGTGCTTTCCCAATTGTGTGGGAATGGAACCCTCCACTAGAGTGGGGCCCGAAGCCTCATGGAAGTACAGGAAATGAATGTCAGCCCTTCCTCCAGCCCGGTTTCTTTTACAACCAGTGCCCTCCCTCCAGGAGAATTTGTATGCAAATGGCCACCTCGCTAAGAGTCTCTATTTTTGCTTCTTAAAAATTGGCCTCCAATTGTTTAAAGCACTCCAGCCAGCCCTTAAAGACCCAGAAAAGCAGGGGTTTAGACTCCCCATGTCTTTACCACAAAGCTCTGGAGGAAATGCTCCAACATTTCCCCGAAGCTGTGACTCTGGAAATAAAAATGTATGCTATTTGGCTAGAGGAGATTGAAAGTTTACCTTCGCCGGGACAGCTTTTCTAGGCTGGAATTGGGACCACGTCTCTATTTTTCATTATTCAGAAATTTGCTGTAACAAGCATCAAGGTAATTTTTAAAAAATATGCATGTACATATCTCCTTCTGATCTGGGCTGATCCAGATCATAACAGAATACTGCCGTTTCTGTGCTCTCAGGGGTACAGTATTTGTAACCAGTGCCTTCGTGGCATTTTGAGTAAGAGTTGACCTTAACAAAAAAAAAAAGAAAGAAAATCTCCGTTTTAGTGAACCCGAACTCTGAGCAGCTAGCTTTTCTGCTGGAGGACTCTGAAGGTATTTGTCAATTTACTTTTTTGAAAGGCCTGTGGAAAAGGTAACACATTCAACACTTGGGAACTCAGAACTGCTGGCAGCCCTGGACAGGGAGGTTTGCATATCTGCCTGAACTTGCTGGCCGGTTTCTCAGACGTCCATTTATAACAGTTCTAACAAGATAGAATCTGCCTTTGAATATCTGTAAATACAGGTAAAGACCACAACCCGGCTCTCATAATGGTCCAGGGCTGAACAGACAGATCCCCGTGTTTGATTAATATTTATGTTGCCGGATTCCTTTAGAGAAAGGGAGATAAAACACCGGTCACGTGTGTGTGTGCTCCGGGGGCCCCATCCTAGGTCCCTGCCGTTTCTTTAGAAGGATGTACGTTTGGGGATTTGGGGAGACAAGGTGTGTGTATGGGGGTAATTGTTCAGGCTCTGCCTGGAAGATAGGGACGTGTGGTTGGCTGACTTAATGGCTATTACACGAGGAGGAGGAGGAGGCCAACTTATGTTTTTTCTTTATTTTGATAGTTCAACAGTGGTAAAAATGACCGGTGATTTCTCCCTCTCGTTTTGGGGTAAGGCTGGGGGCAGAGTGGTGAAAGCCCCCCTTCCCTCTTCTCTCGTTCCTTGGAAAGCGCGCACCTTTGTGTCCCCGTGGCAGGGTGGGCTGCCTCGAGGGTGTGTTGTTCTGAGCCGTACATGACAAGCCTGCAGGGCACAGGTGCCTTGCCACGCTTTGTTGCGGAGCCGTGTGTGGGAGATTTGCTTGGGGATGGGGGACTGTGTCAGCTGCATCCTGTTGAAATAAATGCCGGTGGAAATGGTCGTCAGTGGGACCCCAGGGAGGCCTCCTTTGGAGGTGTGGATAAGCATCTTCCGTTTTATGACTTTGAGAAATCTAGATGTTCTTACCGGATTTTCTAGAAGCGTGGCCTCTCAGAGCAGCACCTGAGCCCTGGCGACACCTTCGATCAGTATTTGTTGTGGCAGGAGCAGGAGGGGCCACCTGGTGTGGAAGCACCGATCGGAGATGTGGGCATGCACGGCACTGACAGTCTCAAATGTGTTTGTTCCTAAACGGCCCGGGGCAAATCAGCTCATCGTCTCTTCGTTTCGCCGTCCAGGTGCCAGAGCAAACCCTTCCCTGGCAGTGGAGTCACTGCTGATTTCAAAGACATAAATGAGTATAGGCTGTCATTGTTCAGCTCCTGGGGGGGGGGGGGGGCGTTGGGGGGGTGGGCAGCGTGACTGGTTTGCAAAAGGGCGAGGAGTCACATAGCTACTTGGGTAGCATGTCATGTTCAAGGTAAGGGGAAAAGATAGGGGGCTTGGGGGGGCTGATAAGGAGGAGGACTTGAATTTTCAATTTAGTGACCTAATACCAATAGGAAACGCTTCTCCCCCATTCCCATTCATTTTAGGGGCCTGCCCCCCCAGCTCTTTGGGGACTGCCATGTAACTCAGAACCCTAACACCGACTGGGCTTGCTGTTGCCCTTGACCTGAACATACCAAGAAAGGTATCTTTCCTGGCATTTGGTGTCTGGCTCCAGAAAGAGAGGACTTGGGCAGGGGGAGTGCAGATCAAACACCGGCTGGGCTGGGGAGGAATGCATACAGCAGGCAGCCTTTAAGTGCGCAGTCTTGCTCGTCGCAGGTGAGGAAGCAACTCCCGTACAGACTGGCGAGGACATTGTTTCGCTTTCGCCGCCGCCTCTCAAAGCTAACAGCCATTGGCATCTGTGCCCACAGAGCACACAGCTGGCGCTCGGAAACGGTCCCTGCACTGGGGAAGGAGAGGCCCTAAGTGTCCTGCTGGGGCTCCGTCTTCCTGTTTTGTTGTTTTTCTTTCCGAGAGGCTTGGATTCCTTTTTTCCAGCAAATGCTGAGTGACCTGAATTGGAGTTTTAATAGGAGTCACCTGTGGCAGGGCCAAGCCCCTGTGGTTCAGACTTGCTATTTAGAAAATACAGATGCTTGCTTTATGTGTTTCGTGGGTTCACCCCAGCAGGGCCGAGACCTCCGGCTTGCGTTTTGGGGTGGGTGGTGAGTGGGGGGTGGCCTTCTGCCTTCTCCACGGGGCACTTGAGGGAGCCCTTGTTCCCTGGCATCGGAGCTGGAGTGGGGTGAGGGCATGGCAGATCCCCGTAGCTGTGTCGGTGCAGGCACGGAGCCAGAGGCTGTCTGGTGTTCCTTAATTGAATACAGATCTCAGTCAGTTCCATGTGGGCATGCCAGAATGGGCAGGGAGGGCAGGGAGGGTCCTCCTTCCCCCAGTTCGGGTCTTAGAAGCTCGGACCCCCCACCTGAGTGGCCTCCAGGCCTGTCCCCACACCCAGCCTGCGTGGTTTGCAAAAAAGGAAGGGAGGTGGGCGCCATGATCGTGCGACGCCCATGTAAACACTGTTTGTATGAACTGGGTCTTCTCTCTTTTGTTAGTGGCAGCTCGTTAATTAACCAGCACATTAGTGCAGCCTTCTTGGACACATGCATGTATTTGGGGGGCAGAAGGTTGTCTTTCTCCTAAAACTCTGAACGGCACCGTTCAGGAAGTCCAGGTAGCTGCCACCTCTTCTCTCGGTGCCCCGTGGTCCTCCCTGCCGCCCCTTCCCACCCCCTCTCCCCAGCCTCCCCCTTAACCCCAGTGATGGGGCTCCTAGTCGGGTGGAGGACAGACGCGTTAAACGCAGCTAAATAAATCATGTTTACGCTTGGCGTTCTTGGGAGTGAAGAATCTGTTGGCTGTTTTTACTTCCTTATTTCTCAGCATTTGCTTCCTACCTGTTTTTGAGCTCATGCCCAGAAATAGTAGTTTTGTCAAATGAGGGTATAATGCCAGCCAGTCTCTCTCGCTGCCAAGGAAGCTGCTGGATTTTGCAAAACAGAGTGACGTTTTTTTTAGTGACACTGATTTTTTCCCCCCCAAAAAGAAATTAGGATGTAGAATAAGGGTATGAAAATGCATGTAGGGAAGAAAAAAAATCCCCCCCTCCAGCCGCCCCCGAGGCTGAGGGACGCGCAGGGAGCCGGCTGGGAGACAGGTCTCACTTCTGTCGCACTTGGCAGCTCCGGGGGCAGGAGGCAGCACAGACCGGGAGAGGCCGCAGCTGCCTTGGCGGCTGAGAGCTGAGTCAGGTTCCTCGCACTCAGCCCCGAGACTTCATTTGCTCTGCCATCTTGGATGATGTGGCGCAAAGATGTTTGTTTTCTTAGTTCAGGTTGGTCTTGTGTCTGTGTCGTTTCCGAGGCCTCCTGCTTGGTGCTTGCTGGATTCTTTCTCTGAGGTTACAGTCGATTCTGGTCCCAGTCCGGCTTGGGGGCCTGTTGGGACCCAGCCGCATGATCATTGTTTATATACAGAACAGCCAGGGAGGCGGCCCTTTCTCTGCCTTTTATCCACCACACTGTTTTGGGGTATCTGAAAAGCCATTGCCCTGGTGGGGTGCTGGGCAGAGAATTACAGGGAGCCTGCAGGTTAGAAAAACTTTTTTTTAAGGTTTCAAAAAAAAATAAAAAAAATAAATGGCAAATACAGGTGGGGGGGTGGGTGCTCCTGCCAGGAGGCCAGGCCTGACTTCTCCGGAGTCTGTGCAGGGAGCAGCCAGGCCTCTGGGGTGAGTTCAGTCTGAGGCCCAGCACACCAGCTCTGTTTCAAAAACACCAAGGAAACCAGGGCAGCAGGACCAGCGCCGGCGTGCTGCGATCCCCCCAGTTCCTACGGGGAGCGCTCGGCGGTGAAATGCTGTCTCCACAGAGGACCCTGCTACGGTTCCTTTAATTACACCAAAGAGCGGTGTGACGCGCAGCTGAAGGCAAACCTCTGCGGCGGCGGCGGCAGCGGTGGCGGCGCGGGGCTAGACTGAGTCGGAAGGAGCAGCGTTACCAGTGCTAGCCTGCTAACCATCTTCAGTGCATTAATCCCGCCAAGTGTTCATTTTTACAAATTTTGTTGTTGCACACACTGTACGTCACCGTTGGTGCGTGAGGAGATGAAAATGGATTTCGCGTCAGAAAATAAGCAGGGACGTGCCTGCCGGGCTGCTCCCTCGGAAGGCAGTGTGGGACGTTCATCGTCAGACGCTACCTGTGCAGAAAGGCAGGCTGGCGATACGTGGATGAAATGCCACCCGCATCCAGGAAACCCGGCCAGAGGAGCTACTTTGCTGGGGGTAATTACAGGCCTCCAGGCAGTGGCATTCCAGAGGTGGCGTGGCAACCCAGCGAGGCCACGGAAAGATGTTCTTACGTGATTGAGCCTCCGTATTCTATGTCTATTAGTAAAAGGTAAAAAGAAATGAAAAGGAAACAAAAACGTCAACAACAAAATCCAGGGAGAGTTTGTGTGTGTGTGTGTGTGTTTATTATAGGAGACCAATTGCATAGAACTCTACTAACTGCAACCAAAAACAAGACATCTATTTAAACTATAACAGGGTCCCCCGTTTGACAATTTTTTCTTTTTTCACCTTCTACTAACCGAGTGAAAATTCTGTTCACCTACAAGGAGCCCTGCTGGCCCTGGGGTTGCAGGCTCCCCGCCTGCCCAGTACAACGTCATGGTCTGATCTTAAAACGGGGGTGAAGCCGACATTCCTCCCATCCCCCCGCCCCCCTGCACCTGGGATTGTCATCCCTTTTCCTGGCTGTAACCTCCTTGCTGGGCGCTGTGTTTCTCGGGGTTCTTGTTGTTGGTGGGGCTGCGTCCTTTTTGCTGAATTCTCTGAGGTTCTCAGAGTTCGGGCTTCCTCCTCTGTTGACGCTCTCTGCGTGCAGGCGGCTGAGCCGAAGCAGCGGTGGCCTCTGTGGACCCGAGACCACAGCTTCCTGAGCTCCCCCCGTTTCAAACACGCCTATAGCGGACCCGCCCGACGGTTAGCGAGTGCCAGGGGTCAGCATTCCGAGGTCCTTCACTCCTCAGAGGCCAGGCCCTGTGGAAGCTGATGGGAAAGAGAAATGTGTTGTCAGTTGGAATCATCTTCTGGTTTATTTCCCTTGTGTGACGTGAGACTTCAGTCTTGACGATGGTCCCTGCCCTCACCACACCCCCCCCTCGGCTTCCCCCTCCCTCCCCCTCACATACACACATGCAACTATGAGAGATGGGGACATGCCGAAGGGATGTCTGGCCAAGCTGGTCATTGGGGTCTGGCCACTAAGTTCCATCTAAAAAGTGGCCATAGGTTCCTGACCCCACATCCCAAATCCTTCATGGCTGGAACCCAAATGGCTTATCCAGCTTTTTACTTCAGTTTATAGGCTGTGCTGTTCGCCAGGGGCGGCGGGGGGGGGGGGGGGGGGCCCATTGGGAAGATGCGTGTAGTGTAGCGTTTGTGGGTCCTGAAGCAGCCGGAGAGGAGATGATTGGAGGAGCTTGGCTAAGTTGTTTTAGGGCAAAAGACGGAAGACGGACGCAGGTCAGGAGGCCGGGAGAAGGGGCAGTGCCTCTGCCAGGCTTTTGCTGGTGACATTCGGAGGATCTGTCACCTCTAGCTTGCCCTTGGCCTCTGTAGCTTCCTGGGGATGGGAACACACACTGTGCCCTGCCCACACTGCTGACACGTGCGTGTGTATGCGTGTGCACATGTGTGTAATCTCTGTGTAACAGGTGAGCATGCACACAGTTTCCTGACGAGTGAAACACATGGTTTCACCTGTTGTCCCAGGCCTGCCCATTCCAGGATCGGGGCTGTGGATCCGGGGGCCCACCTGCTGAGGTCACCCCAGAGGACTCAGATCTGTTCCTGTGGGGGGGTCCCGAAGCCAGGGTGGAAGGCCTTGGCGTCCGGCTGGAGCAGGAGGAGTTCTGTTCATTGGCATTCCCAGTGGAGAGCCCCAGGGATTTCCCCGCGAGCCCGGCACGCACCAGGAGAGAGACGGAGCTCATGTTTCCCCGGAGGGCTGGCTCAGGCGGTCAGCTCCCTCCACTTCCCCCGAGTAGGTCGGGAGGAGGTTTGGACACAGCCTTCCTCCCAGCAGGCCCCGAAGTGCTCGCTGCCACCTCGCTGGGCGGGGCCACAGAGGGACGGGGACTTGGGACTTGTGCTAAAACCCCACCGACCCTCGGCTCGGGCTGCAGAAAGGGGACGTGCTGCTCCAGAGGACTTGGCGGCTGCATCTTGGGGAAGTTGGGGTTGGCAGCCACGGGCACCTGTGCTTTCGGGCCTGGTGCAGAGGTGGCCTGCACTCCTTCCCACCGTGAGGCGCAGCTGCGGGGAGGACATTGCCTGAGCCCTGGTGGGAGGGGGAAGGCGGGCTTGGTGGTGTTGGGGGCATATTGTTCTTGGCCTCGCCTCTCCCTTTCTGGGGTGCATGAAATGACAGCAGGCTGGGGAGCAAAAGTAGTGGAGGCGGTGACTCACCCTTGACAGATTCCAGAGTGCGGGGTGGGCGGGCGGGGAGGCACCCAGAGGAGGGGCCTGGCTCAGGTGCTGGGAGGGACGGGAAGGCAGGCATGGGGGTCTCCGGGTGGTCGGGTGGTCGGGTGGTCGCTCTGGAAGCCCTGCCCTCCCTCGGTGCCCCCAGCCAGCCAGGCCCAGGTGGTGAGGGCAGCCTGTCAGCCCAGGCCACCGAAAGGGCTGTGTTTTCAACAGGCAGCCCGGGACCGGCTAAATGTGGATTTGAACCATGTTTTCATGTCTCCCATGGAACGGCCTGAAGGAAATCTTTAAACATAGCTGTGCAAACCCTGTGAACCCCATTTCCCCTTCCCATGGCTCCTCCTTTAAGGGACAGTTACACGTGAACCCCCAAACCCCAACCCATGGCAGCCAGGGACCCAGAGACCGGTGATGGGCGCCTGATTTAGAAGGAGAAGTTGGAAGTGGGACTGGGGGAGCCTTAGCTCCCCACAGAGGACTTTTTGGTCCCCCAAACGCTTGGTGCCAGGAGCTGAGCCATGCAGTACCCTCTGGGCCTGCCCTCCCTTCCCCCCGTCCCCGGCTTACAGGTTTCCACGGTGACTTTCGCTGTTCACTGAAATGCTTGCATTCCCTGTCTGCTTTGTTTTATGACGAGGATATACATTTATAATGAAGTGAAAAACAAGTTCCAGGCTTTGCTGGTTCCCAGACCTTGGCAATTAAAAACTAAGAAAAAGGTGAAATAATACCTGTAGAGGGAAGGAATTTATTATTTGAGGACCTCCTCCCACACACACACACAGGACCCTTGCTGCCCTGAAATTGAGTAACAAAGATGC